CTTACTAGTATGTCATACATTAGTGTTATTGTGTCTGTGCTAGTGTTTTACTAGTATGTCATACATTAGTGTTATTGTGTCTGTGCTAGTGTTTTACTAGTATGTCATACATTAGTGTTATTGTTGTGTGCTAGTGTTTTACTAGTATGTGATACATTAGTGTTATTGTGTGTGTGCTAGTGTTTTACTAGTTATGTCATACATTAGTGTTATTGTATCTGTGCTAGTGTTTTACTAGCATGTCATACATTAGTGTTATTGTGTCTGTGCTAGTGTTTTACTAGTATGTCATACATTAGTGTTATTGTGTGTGTGTGTGTGTGTTTAATGACTATATTTATTTTTGTGAATGAGTGGTCAGAATTGGCTTGGTATAAAGTACTAGGCTTAATAACAATATGGCCCCCAAGTATGTTATATTTGAAAAATTCAAATTCAGCTTATTAAGTTCATTGCAAGATTTACTGGCTTTTGTGGGTGATTTTCTGTTGAAACAGGTGAAGTGAAATAATAAAGAAATAATTTGATTGTATAAACAGTGTTTTAGAATTGCATTAGAAAAAAGGGGAGTCTAGGGTTAATACTTTTAAAAAAACATTATGAAATTTCAAAAACTGAACGCAGCATTTATTAAACAATTATTTTAAATTTTGTTTAATCACATTAACCTATAACATTTTGAGAACTCTTGCCAAATTTAACGGCAACAGATTTATTAATCTTCGAAAATTATATAACTTTTTGTGAGGCATTATAAAGTTGAATCATTCTAAATCAGTTAGAAATGACTGTTGTGATTACAAGTAAAAAATAATTTTAGGACATTATTCTAAGCATTACCCTTACAGTTGTGTTAATTTGTTCCATACGTGGAACACTAAAACAATATTATTTGTTAAACACTGTATGTGAAGGTTCAGATATATTTTCAGGGTTATAAATTATACAGGCTAGATTCTCAAATTTTAAAGTCTGATTTTCTTTTTTATTTTGTCAAATGCAATAATTTTGAACTTTAAACTTTGTAACCTATAATGCTTTGGGTGTAGCTTTCTACAGACATTTTCTCTTTACTTTGAATATTTTTATTACAAAATTGAAATATAAATACTTTCTGACCATTTTTTTAAAAATCTTGTGCACAGACGCTCGTGGCGTCACCTAGTAGTACCAATTCAAAGGATTGTGAACCAGAAGGGTTGTGAGAGACAACTATATCTTTCTTCAACTGTGGATTCTAGCAGCTGCTTGACTTTTTCTAAGTATAAGTCCTACTTTCATCCTTTGTTCAATTGTCTGTGGTAAAATTGAGTCTGTAGCTATAGGTAACCCCAAACTTGGTGTCTTTACTGGAAGTCAGTGCATGCCTCATTACCATAGTGCTTCAGTGTTGTAAGTCTGTTATTCTGTCAGCATAGCATTGGGTGTAATAGCATCACAAGAGTATTAGCATGTGCCATTCAGGAATGTAATACTTTCTTGAATTTTCCAAGCTGTGTTTGGCTGAGGTGTAATGCAATTTTGATTACTATAGATATAGAAATAAACATTTATAATATGTGAGTATCATATTATTGATAGCACAACATGTACACTATGGAATTCTGGGAGTAGAACCTCACTTATCATGGACATGGAATGAGTTGTAAGAAGCACCCATGTCTAATGTTGCTTTGGTCTGGTTGATGTGTGTGTGTTTGATATATATCTAGTACTGTTAGCTAGGGTGTAGCATCTTGTCAGTTTGAAAATATATATAACTAAATATTCCAGAGGAGAAACATTAATTAAGCATGTAAACATTTTCCTGGATCCACTGTACCAAGTGTGTGATGGTCTGATGTGAAATGATAATTTACTTTAAATTTTCAGAGGTATTTATTCTTTTTATCCTTCAGAATATTACATACACATTTAAATGTAAATTAGTGGATGCTATTTCTGAAATACTTTTTACTATCATCATCTCTATGTTTACTAACTTGTTTTTAGAATAAGCAGTAACACTGTATACTTTCCAGATTATATTTTTAACAAAAAATATACCAAGTGTTTTAAAAAACCTAATTCCTATTAACCCTTCCATTATGGGCTGGGTGTAATCCACCCAGCCCGTAACCAAGGGAGTATCTATGAGAGTAATTGGAAATCTTTGAAAATGTACACAAGTCTTTACAAAATTTTGCAGATTGTTAGTAAACATTACAAGAATTTCATACACATAATATCTGGTTTTTGAATTTCGTTTTAAGAGTTTTTTTTATAAAAGATTTGCTTGTGAATTTTTTTTCTTACAGAATGTTGACTATCCAACGTACATAATTTTGATTTTAAGATTAAGAATACTTTTCTTTATCTGAAATTTGTCAAGTTTCATTTACATAATCTCTGTATCCTTC